CTACAGGAGTGTTGAAAAATGTACTGACCCATGTATGATTTTCCTAAAGCTCTGTAGGGGAAAAAAGCCACACGTGAATCAGAGATTATTGTTAAGTGCAATAAAAGCCCATGATATATTTAATTGCCAAAATATCCATTTGAATGTTTTTTCAACTGCTTTTTAGGAATGCCCACCTAAAGAAGAAGCTGGCTGGCAATGACAGTCCTTCTAACTCCCCTACAAGCTCTCTGATCTTAGCTTCAATGTGTAGTTCAGCTCCTAATGGCTAGCTGTGTGAATGACGCCAAGTCACTTCACATCTCAAGGACTCCAGTTCCTCTGGAAGGGACTAACCATACTGTGCTACTCCAGAGAGCAGTCTGTGCATCAGTGAATTACTGCTTTTTTACCTAGTTGGAAAGCAATTAATGGCAGTGATTTGAAGCATAAAAGATTACCTGTGAGTGTTAAATAAGTTGCCCAAACAAGTTAGGAGCAAACGTTTTGCCAGGTTATGCAAGCCGGGGCATTTAATTGTCAATAACCTAATCAATCAAATTGACAGATCTTTACCATGAGGGGATGCAAAGATCAGAGACTTGCCCTATTGTCCCCATGGCCCAAATCCTTTGCTTCATTGTGACATAATTTTGGTATTTTCATACCATTCTATATATGGCTCCCTGCTTTTACAGAATGGAACCACTGGTACATAAATCAGAATACCAAATTTAAAGCAAGCCAAGCATTCATATATTCCCAGTCACTGCTTATCAGTACCTGTAAATGCTGTCAGTTTCAAATGAGCTAATGAAGGCATTTATTCAAAAGACTGGCTAATCATGTTGAATTCACATGGGATTTAGAGTACTCCATAATGCTACTTGCTAAACCTGGAGGAAGTATTGGCAACACATCCAAATACACTACTCAGAAATGTTTCTGGGGCTAGCACAGTAGCACATCAGGTTAAGCCATCACCTGCAGAGTCAGCATCCCATGTGGGCCCCAGACTGAGTCTTTGCTGCTTCACTTCTGATCCAGCTTCCTGCTAATGAGCCTGGAAAGACCACAGAGGATAGTCCAAGTCCTTGGGTCCCTTGAGCTGAAGGTCTGAAGAAGCTCCTAGTTCTTGGCTTTAACCTGGCCCAGCCCTAGCAGTTGCTGCCATTTGAGAAGTGAACAATTAGATGGAAATTTTTCTGTCTCCTCTCCCTCTTTCTAATTCTGCCTTTCAAATAAGTAAACTAAATCTTAATTTAAAAAAGTCTATTCACCAGGGCACATGGAAATATCATCTTATCCTTTTTAAAAATAGGCTTATTTATTTTGATTTGAAAGTGAAAGTTATAGAGATAAAAAGAGAGCAAGAGAGAGAGAGAGATCGTCCATTTGCTGATTCATTCCCCAAATGACTTGCAACAGCTGGAGCTGGGCTGGTCTGAATCTAGGCGCTTCCTCCAAGTCTCCCATGTGGGTACAAAGACCCTAGCACTTGAGCCATCATCTGCTGCTTTTTCAGGTCACAAGCAGGAAACTGGTTGGCAAGTGGAGTAGTTGGAACTCAAACTGGCACCCATAAGGGATGCCAGTACTGCAGGCAGAGGATTATCTCACTATGCCACAGTATGGTCCTTTGTTCTTCTATCTAAATACTTGATCTCAATCCTTGAAACTAACCAAATGACTTCGGAAACTGTATAAAATAGATTCAATTATTGTTTATCAACTCACCTAGAGCATTTCTTGAATATCTCCTATGGGAAACACTGTATCAGACATTTTCTATGAATTACATTTAACATTTACACAACCTTCTGAGGTAGGGTTTATTATCCTCATTTCATTATGAGTATCAGGACTTGAACCCAAGCCTATAATGATTCTACAACCATCAAACTCTCCTGGATTCTCCAACTGAGATAGAAGAGTTCATAATTAATTTTTTCTGTTTGGTTTTTGAGCAGTGATTGTTCATGGAAAAGTAATATACCTAAGCATAAAATTAATGATTTTGAAACAATAAAAAATTAACATAGAAGAAAAAATCTGGCACATAAATTTGAAGAATTGGTTTTGAAGTTAAAAAAAAAACCTCAAAAATATGGATTGGGTAATTAAGCTGGTACAATAAAAGAAGAATGTGCCAGATAATTTTCAAGAATCCATTGTAAGTTCTGGCATTAAAAAGATAAAATTGAACTAAGAAAACAAGAGTTTTAACTATTAATGATCCCCCTACTGGGAATATTGAGTCATCGTCTTGGTTTCTACTATCTGCTCTGTCAACAGCCTACCCTAACACCTTGGATAAATAATCAAACTTGATCTACTTCAGTTTGTTCATCAGTAAAAATATGAAATAACTAATAAAACGAATTTACCATGTAGAGATGTTTTAAGAACAAATAACCTTAAAACAACAACAAGGCATTCAGGGCTTCTAAGAAATGCCTCTGCAATCAACATATGACTAACACCATCAATGCAGAGGAATCACTCCTAAATGGAAAACAGAAAATCCTAGGTAATCATTCTATTTGAGGCAAGATTGGGGTTCTGAGGGACTATGGCCCCTTTCTAAGAAGCAAACAATGGCTTCTGAACTGCATAATCAAGAGCTAACCAGAAAGGTTGTGATCAGCCAAGGTAATGCCATAATGACTCATACATTCACCCAGCCATTCCACAAATATACGTTGGCACCGTCTTTGTACTGAGCTGGATGCCCCCTTCCTTTTCCTATGGGTTCAGGTACATAAAGCTGGGCTAAACCTAGGCACTGTGCAGGGGTCCCCATGTCAAAGAACCCTCTTTTAGCCTATGGTCTGATGCTCAGTGCAGGAGGAGACCCTAGAAAAGGGCAGTCTGAAAATTCCCTTCAAGCTTCACTCCACAGTGACATCTACCTTCCAGTTAGATATAGTCTTTGCATTCCCTCCAGATGCCTCTGAGCACAGAAGTACTGGAATGTGTATACACACACACACACACACACACACACACACACACACACACGGTTCTATATTGCTATCTCTGCTTATACCTGTCATAATATGTTCCTGTGTACGGTAGGAAACCTTCATGCTTCTTTCTTCTGCCTTTTATTATGCTGCAAAAAAACAGCTCCACTCCCTAGGAAGACACCTACTGTACACCCATTTGTGGCTGGTCCTTTTTGTGAGCTCCTGCCAAGCTGGTAGGAAGCTTCCCGATGACTCCATCTTAGTTGGATCGCCTGCAGAGCCTAACACCGTACATAGGGTGCAGCGGTGGGAGGGGGGGTGAGGGGTGGCTAAGGCAGCTGAGGAAGAGTCAGGAGAGCAGGGAGTATAATAAAGAAGAGGGTCATGTCCCTAAGCTTAAAAATATCTATGGTACATATACGCAAACATATAAACAGAGCTACATACGAAAAGTAAAGCCAGAGCAAATTCATGTATTTATACTCTAACACTAAACTACTATAGCCAAGAAAAAAAAAAAAAACATAGACATTTCCCCTCCACCCTGGTCCCTCTGCCCCAACCTCTTCAAGCCCTTTAGTGGCTTCTGCCACCCTACCCCGACCCTCCCCTCCTCAATGCAGCCTGCTTTGGATAACTCACTTTGACCTGATTTCAATTCCATCTGGTCAAATATGCTGGGAGGAGGGGAGGAGAGAAGAAGCACATTGGGATTTGCCACTGAGGCTAGACCTAAACCCAAAGAGTGCGGCCCCTCCCCCACCGCAGGGTGCTCCTGTGGTGAGAAGGGAAGGGAAAGCGCAGGCTGCAACCCTGAGACTGAAGCCAGGGCTGCCTGCAAACATTTTCTGGGCATCTATAATTTGCCAGTCTCCATCCATTTGCAGCTCACGTTGAGGGACCCTGGCAAGCTCTGCAGTGGGTTCCAGGAGAGCTATTAATCCCTCTCAACATGCGAGGTTCTTCTGCTCTGCCTCGGCTCTAACAGAGGGTTCCTCTTGTGTCTTTCCTCTAACCCCTTTTGCTGCTGCCCTTAGCTCCTTTCCTCTCTTGACCTTGAGAGGTCAGTAAAGTGCCTCATTCCCACTCCCTCTCACCTCCCCCACCAAATCCCATTCTGATAACCCTACAAAAGCTTCCAGAAGCAGGTTCTCTTCCACTGGGGCAGAGAAAACAAGAGGCAAAGTGACAGGGAGAGGTGAGAGACCGAAAGTGCTGGAAACATCCCTTGCCATCTCTAGTACTCTACAGCATAAGAGAAAGCCCTCAGCACGCCCAGCCCCCCACCCCCCACTCCCTGGTTGCAGAGGCAAGGTTTAGCTAGTCAGCTTCTGTAATTCCAATTCTGCAGAGGGGAAAACCTGCAGAGGAACTGGCCCCGAACAGGCACAGAATCCAAGGTGGCCAATTGTGGACTGATTTGTGGGTGAGAAAAAAAAAAAAAAAGCAGACTTTGCAGATTTAGTAGATTAACCCACACACAAAACAAAATAAAACAAAAACAGCTTGCCCTAGGGAGAAGGGCAAGAATCAGAAGCTCAGTGACCTTTGCACGGACCAAGTCTGCTTTGTCTCCAGGATCCAGATACCCACCACAGGGGCTGGAGGAATACCTCCCCAGCCCCTACACATTACCCATTCTGTCCCCCAGCTCCTTCCCTCTTTCTCCTTTGTTCTTCCCTAAAATAAATCAACTCTGCAGCTTGTTAAACTCTTAGCTCCAGGGAAAGGCATCAGACTGGCAGACTGGTGGCCCAGACTTTGGGTGTGTGCTGGAAAGAGGGGAGGACTCCTGCCCGTGACAGGTGCTGCGCAGGTCCCAGCCTCCTGGCTTACTTGGGGATGGGGGGACTCACTGGCCCAACATAGCCCCCCAATAAAACCACTCTTCTCCAGCTGCTGCTTCTGAGCGGCAAAGTTGTTGGGGGAGAAGGGAGGGTCCGGGGTGGGGGTAGGGATTGAGGGTCTCGGACTGGGGAGTGAGAAAGAAGGGGAGAGGTCTTCACAGCCCCCTAGGGGGTGCGCGCCTCGTCACCCGCTGACTTCACTTACCATCTCACTGTAGGCATCCTTGCTGAGCCTGGGGGTCAACTTGATAGTGCCCATGAAAACAAAGAAGAGTCCCAGGGCCACGGAAAGGGCCACGATAGTTATGGTTCTGGGGGATGCCATGGGGTCACCAAGGCAAGTCCCAACTAATCCTGCTTTGCGCAGACGGTCAGTCTAGGATGCAGTAGGCTAGCACAGGGACAGCTAGAGGGACGCTGCGGAGGCAGCAGGCAGCTAGAATGACAAAGGGAGAGGAGGGAGCTCGAGAGAAAAATTGAGAGATCGAGATTCAACCGCTCTCACTATCACAATCGCTGGGTCCTAATGCCCTACGCCTGCTTCGCACAGGCCAAAAAGACTGTCTGGAAGTTAAAGGAAGTCCCCAGTCGAAGCGGAAACTCGCACTTTCGAAGAGCAGGAGGTAGCTTACGCTTCAAGTATCGTCAAGGAGCCGCTCCTGCCTGCAGGAGTTCTAGAAGACGTTCTTTTTGCCGCTTCCCCCATCCCCAGCACTTTGTATCTCCTCCCCTCCTAGCTTGTAGCCATTCACACCCCTTTTCCACCTCTTTCCCTCAATCAAATTGTCAGTCCTCAGAGAATTGTTGGTTTCTGAAGTGAGTGCCACTTAAGGGTAAAACTGCAAAGTTGCGAGGCGCTGCTGTTGAAGAATGCTTTATTGTTCTGTTGCTGAAAGGCTTTCCGAGGCGCCCGTGGCCCAGTGGCTAACTCCAGAGTGTTTAGTTCGTTATTCAAGGCCCTATTGCCTACCGCTTTATGGGGGATTGATCTTTGAACAGCTCTCAAGGCTACTACCAACCTGGTAACCCAAACCTTTCCTAACCCTCCCCTCCTCCCCGCATCACTCCACAATCCTTACTTCCTATATAAAGGCTTTCCCAGCCTATTCCCAGCTGGACATGATTGCTCCCTCCGATTTTCTCTAACAACAACCAATATTTATTGAATGTTTACTAGGTGTTAGGCACTGCCCTAATCGAATCTTTAAAAGCAACACTGTGAGCTAGGTATGAGTCACCATTTTTTAGGGCTGGGAACACTGAGTTCCAGGGAATTAAGTAACCTGCTCAACGGTATACAGCCAGTCGGCGGAGATCAAGGATACAAATCTGGACAGTTATTTCTAGAGCCCAGGCTCTCCATATGGCTCCGCTGCTTTTCCAAAACAATAATTTGCACAATTAGCATGCACATCCAGTGTTGTCATACCCGGAAGGTCAGGGTTTCAATACCAGATCTGGCACTCACTGTGTGAACTTGGACACTTTTCTTCCCTTCTCCGAACCTCGTTCCCACATTTGTAAGAAGTGGAGGAAAAGTGTGCTGCCAAGCTTTGCTGTAACAATTTCATGTATGTAAATCACCTAGCACAACGTCTAACACGCAACAATAACTCAGAGAGTGTGAGTCTCTCCTGCTTTTTCTGCCTTCCTGCTCCATTCCAAATTAGATTATAAGGATTTAAAGGAATAGGAACCACTCTGCATATGCCCCACCGTCCTAAAACAATGCCTTTTGTGCACCAGATCCTAATAAATCTTGGTGGGGAGGGGGGATGATTTTAAATGCAAATACTTCTGGGAGTGGTAATACTAAGATTTAAGCTATCACAACCTGTGAGGGAAGAATTCAGGCTCTTTTCTGATTATAATTCAATTTACAAATTACTGAGAATGTATCATATGTATACAAGTGAATTAAACACCATCAGAACACACTGACGAAGGAGATACAGACCTTATTCCCAGTGGATTTATTGAAAGCAGAACAAGTTAGAGAGAAGATTCCTTCCATAGACATAAAAAACTGGAAAAAATATTCCAAAATGTGAAATATTCATCATTATAATTTGCTTTCCAAATGCCCTATATTAATATGGCATTAAAATGAGCACTTGGGGTCCTGGCGGTGTGGCCTAGCGGCTAAAATCCTCACCTTGAACGCGCCAGGATCCCATTTGGGCACTGGTTCTAATCCCGGCAGTCCTGCTTCTCATGCAGCTCCCTTCTTGGGACCTGGGAAAGCAGTCGAGGATGGCCCAAAGCTTTGGGATCCTGCACCCCTGTGGGAAACCTGGAGGAAGAAGTTCCTGGATCTTGGCTCCGGATCGGTGCAGCACTGGCCATTGCGCTCACTCATCATCCGATGAATCATCGGATGGAGGATCTTCCTGTCTCTCCTTCTCTCTGTATATCTGACTTTCCAATAAATAAATAAATCTTAAAAAAAAATGAGCCCTTGGGAAACATAGTCACAGAGTTAAGCAATTGATCATTGTTTTTTCTTTCAAATTATGTGATAAAGACACTAGCAAATATTCTTTATAAAAATGTGTGAAGGACTAAGAAATATAAGGGCACAACAATTCATAGTCCCACTATAAAGAGATAAACCTCCATATTTTTATTGTTCAATATTTTAGCCTTTTTCTTTACTGCCTCTCTGCGAGCAAAATATGTAAATTTGCTCTTAAAAATTTGATTTGACAATGCAGTTAATCCCCCCTTTGTTTATTAGTATTTTATCTTGTCATTAGGCTGTATTCACAAACCACAATTGCTACATAATGCCTTAGCATCATTTGAATGTACTATAATTCATTTATTTTCCTGTTGCTAGACATTGGTGCTTTTTCCATGGTTTTTACCTCTACAAGTAAAAAGATCAGTGATGCACATTCTTGTGTATAGTCTGTGCCTAAATACCTGATTTTTTCTTTAGGATGAATTCCTGCAGGTTAAATGATTCAAAATTATAACATTTTCGTATATACATATATATTCGTACATCTTTTTCTAATCATTAACACCACTGACTGAGAGTACACTGGACACTAGTTAAGTGAGTTACAAACATGATGTAGAGTCATTTTTTGAACCCAGAACAAGACCAACATCTGCTAGGATATTGACCATAGCCTGTGTTATTTCTGTTTATTTCTTTATCACTTAAAAGACATTAATTTTTAAAGATTTACTTATTTATTTGAAAGAGCAACAGAGAAAGGAGAAGAGTCAGAGATCTTCCATCTACTGGTTTCCAGCTCAAATGACCACAACAGCTGAGGCCGGGTCAGGCTAGAGCCACATGGGACTCAGACCTGTATTTTGATATAGGGTGTGGGCATCCCAACTGCTGGCTTTAACATGCTACTCCACAATGCCAGCCCCAAGACATGACTGCTTAAAAGAATTTTGATGCACAGCACCAAACTGCTTTCCAGAAAAAATTTACCCTCCCCATCAGCAATATAGGAGACTATAAGCATCAGATTGGTATTAATAGTTTCAGTGTGTTTTTCAGCTTCAGTTTGTGTTAGAAAAATTTTCTTTATGGGCCCAGCTGCGTGGCCTAGCGGCTAAAGTCCTTGCCTTGAACGTGCCAGGATCCCATATGGGTGCCAGTTCTAGTCCCAGCAGCCCCACTTCCCATGCAGCTCCCTGCTTGTGGCCTGGGAAAGCAGTCGAGGATGGCCCAAAGCTTTGGGACCCTGCACCCATGTGGGATACCCGGAAGAGGTTCCTGGATCCTGGCTTCGGATTGGCATAGCATCGGCCATTGCGCTCACTTGGGGAGTGAATCATTGGACGGAAGATCTTCCTCTCTGTGTCTCCTCCTCTCTGTATATCTGACTTTCCAATAAATAAATAAATCTTAAAAAAAAGAAAAATTTTCTTTATAAAAACATTTTAATAAATATCGTGTATATTTTGCATCAATTTCTTTTTTCATTTTTGAGTATTTGGTATTTTGGATTGATTTATGAACCCTCTTTATAGCACACTAACATTAACATTTTGTTTCTAATTATTTGCCAAGTTTGTCTTTACCAGTAAATTTGATAGAAGCATATCAATAATGACATTTTTTTTAAAAGATTTATTTTTATTATTTTTTCATTGGAAAGGCGGATATACAGAGAGGAGAGACAGAGAGGAAGATCTTCCGTCCAATGATTCACTCCCCAAGTGAGAGGAGGAGAGATAGAGTGGAAGTGGAACTGCTGGGATTAGAACCGGCGACCATATGGGATCCCAGCACATTCAAGGCGAGGACCTTAACCACTAGGCCAGGCTGCTGGGCCCTTTTTTTCACATGTAATATTGTTGATTAATTCTGTTCCTGTTGTCCTGTGACACTTCCTTTATTGCATATCAGGTTCCTGTCTTTTGCTTCATCAGTTTCAAAGCTTTCTGTACTGTTCATTGATTTCTTTGTTGATTCCTGTGCCAGTACTACAATATATTATATTCATATATTTCAATAACCTATAAGCCACATTTCCTATAAAAAATTTATTTTCAAAATTTTTATGCCATTTGACTCTATTCATTGAACTTTAGAGTCACTTTACCAGGATGCCAGTGTGATGGCTCAACTGACTAATCGTCTACCTGCCAGCACCGGCATCCTATGTGGGTGCCATTTTGTGTTGTGCTATTTCCTATCCAGCTCCTTGCTTATAGCCTTGGAAAGCAGCAGGGTGACTCATGCCCTTATGAACCTACACCCGTGTGGGAGACCCGGAAGCTCCTGGCTCCTGGCTTCGCATGAGCTCAGTTCTAGCCATTTCAACTTTGAGGTGTGAACAGGCAGATAGAAGATCTATCCCTCTGTCTCTCCTTTTCTGTGTAACTTCATCTTTCAATTAAAAACAAATCTTAGAAAAAAGTTTCCCCTCACCAAAGTGAAATAATTGAGGAAGATACTGTGGCACAGCATGTTAAATCATCACTTGGGATGCCCTTATCCCATATGGGGGTACCTGGTTTGAATCCTGGCTACTCCTGATGCAGCTGCCTGCTAATGCAACCTGAGAGGCAGCAGATGTTGGTTCAAGTGCCTGGATTTGTGCCACTCACATGGGAGACCCAGATGGAGTTTCTGATTCCCAGCTTCAGGCTGGCGCAGACCTGGTTGCCACAGCCATTTGTTCAGTGAACCATTGGATGATAGATTCTCTCTGTGTCCCTGTCATTCTGCCTTTCAAATAGATGAAAACAGATAGACACTAAACAAAAGTAAAAGTAATTTTGGGGCCCAGCGCAATAGCATAATGGTTAAAGTCCTCGCCTTGCGCCTCCGGGGTCCCATATGGGTGCCAATTCTAATCCCAGCAGCCCTGCTTTCCATCCAGCTCCCTGCCTGTGGCCTCAGAAAGCAATAGAGGATGGCTCAAAGCTTTGGGACCCTGCACCTGCCTGAGCGACATGGAAGAAGCTCCTGGATCCTGGCTTCGTATTGGCTCAGCTCCTGCTATTGTGGCTGCTTGGGGAGTGAATCATCGGATGGAAGATCTTCCTCTCTGTCTCTCCTCCTCTCTGTATATCTGACTTTCCAATAAAAATAAAATAAATCTTAAAAAAAGTAACTTTGAATTTGGGCTTGGCTGAATTGAATGTG